TGCTATCCTCGGTTGAAAATTATATATTGTAAATATTTAAACAGTTGCATAGAAAACAGTGTGGTTATTCACTAAATGTATTGATAAAAGGTGACTCCATTTTTGTACATACTTTTACAGTAGTCATCCTTAATTTTTTAATATTTCGTTTATAAGTTTATCATACATGTATGATTTTGTATTTCATTTTAATACGCACGCATGCCACACGTTACTTTGGCGGATAGTTCAACAATGTTATGCAAAGCTCTATTCTTACGGTATGAAACTAAAGGATAAATTTTCAACCAATTAAAATCGAAAACAGTACATTTATATAGTTCCTTATAAACTACGACATTTCTAACAAGTATTTATTTATTTTTTAGTTCCACACATGCAAAAATAAAATCTTCGCCGATGAAACATTTCAAACCTTTTTACACCAACATGCCTTCACTGAATTCATTTGAATTTCGTGGTGACCATGATAGTACATTGCATAGTACATCTATATTCACGTACACACATGATACGATCTTTCGGGGACAATTTGCTCGTTTATGACACGTCATTTCTGAATGACCAAACGCTTAGCTACTTTATTTTCGTTTTATAGCATGAAAACAATCAAAAAAAGAGGAATGCGCAACCCATCATAAATTTGAAATGGATCAGTATTATGAGATCCTTATTATAAGTAACTACGACATTGTCAGGATAATAACCTAGCGTCAATATGAAAGAAATTAAAGTGGTTCATACATTCATCCGTATAAAAGCGGCACATGTATTTTTTTTTATCCTTATATTTTTCATAGTGCGGTACAAGTGCTGCATGCATAAAGAATATTACTTAACACAAATTATTAGTATAATATTTCGACCCCACTTTTTGAAATTCACAAAATACTTATTTAATTATTTCGACCAAAAATCATTGTTTTTTACGTTCGTAGTAACGTAGTACATTCCATTGTCGGTCACCTGTGTCAATTCACGTGCACACTAAAATTGTTGTTGTATTTAAATCTTTCGGCCAATGAAATGAGACGTTACAAGTTGTTTGTTTGTGATACGCCAGAATGTTATCAATGAATTATCAATCGCTAAACTTGACTGCATTTCAGTGTACCTATTCAAAAACGTAAATGCAAATTTCACAAGGCTTGATCCAAATAGCCTTTTTACTGTCTAGTAACTTGCAAGTACGAAAAAGACAGGAAAGAAGTATATTTTGTCTATATGTTTTGTGTTTGCACACTTTTTAAAGTTGATCATGCATTCGTTCTAAAATAAAATTTTGACCAGATAAAAGTTAAAAGATGACATAATTGGACAACCGCAATTGTTAAATCGCTTTGACGTCCGAAAAAAAGATAATAATCAACACATCCATTGTAACTTTTAAAGCCAGTTAAATCCTTTTTTGCTGAAAGAACGTCCGATATCATAAAAATTGATTATCAAAACATAACAAAAACACAAGTAAAGAACGTTTAAGTATTCAATTTAAATCAAAACACAAAGGTTATTCCTGATTAGTTTTTCGAATTATTTTATTTAGGCGTTGAGACCCTTTGGTGTCCCCACAGTTTAAATGTCTATAATAAATACGTCGTGAGTTGTGGGCGTTACAGACGAACGTTCACCTAATCTGACCCAGTCAATGGGATATTTTAGCGCGCCAATCAATGGTCTCGGCTACACTGTTTTGCACATGATTCTATTATTGTTTTAAGTGTGTGTTTAATTTGTTAAAAAAACAAGAAACACCTGACGTCTGCAACGAGCATGTTTCGTTCACCTTGTTTTTTCCGATAGTTTCTGGATTCAGTGTCATAAACCATTTTTGTAAACTGCTTTAAGGAATCAAATGTTTATTCCGGCCAGGTTCGATCTTTTATTGCTGATCGTTTATTGTTATTTACATTTTTCGCAAACTACGAAGTTTTCACAAACAAACAACCGAAAAAATGTGTTAAATGTTTACTCAAGGGAAATAACTCATTTCAGAAGTCAACTGACAAGTACGGCCATATATATTTATTGGTAGATCTTGTCCTAAATATAGTTTTTGTTCTCTACAGTTTCTCTCTATCTTATACTGTATCCCCGAAAAAAAAACCTACAGATATGAGTAAATATCATCATTGAACATCAATTACTTATGAGACGACTGAATTAGCGATCTTGTCCTTCTGATCTTTTTCTTTTGCGATTTACAATTTTTCTCTATCTAATATAGTTCCCATCAAAATACACCTTTAGTTGATGGGTTAATATCATCATTCAAGTGCAAAGACTCCTATAGGGCTACATGTAATACCACAGTCCCCTCTAATAAGTCTTTTTTAAATAAGTATTTTACAAAATAAAATGTGCAGAATTTATCTTTGTTTCAAATAAAGACATACTTGGCATGAGTACCGTTTTATCCTGTCCAGTACTACAGTGAAAATTACACATAACATGTCATTGTATGTTAGATAATAACCATCGCCGAAAGTAAACAAATCAAATATCCCCCTCCATTTTTTTCTGTTTATCGGCTTGAGTAACCATGTCACCTTAAGTTTTCAAAATATCTTATAGAAACACCAAATTAAAAAAGAATGGTGCTTTGAAACACCAAAGACGTATGGTTATGACTCAGAATTTTTTTTCTGCATTCAAATGCAGGGTTTTTTTTCTACCACTATCAAATTCAAGGGAATACATTTTTTCTACACTTTTTCGTATAAAACATGACGTAACGTACTATGTTTTGGTGGTATTTCACATAAAGAAGACATTTTTATTGAATTGATTTTTTTTCTTTGAAATACTGGTTATTTCAAGCTTTACTATCAAGTTTTGTCATAATCAGTTCAATTGTTTGAGAGAAATTTAGTACAATGTAAGACGACATCTACAGCGATTTGAGAAAAATTTCTTTGAAAAATCCACACACGCCGCATCATGATAGAATATAGTGTGAACCCATAAATGATGAAAAATTCATCTCAACTATATAAAAATAGTTAAATATGATACAAAAGATTTCTGTTGTATGATAAACACCACTAATGTACATCGTTGTCTTCGTTAGAAGGTCCTATGTGGTCTATTGAAACCTTTCATTCCCTCAAAATTTGAACTTTCTATGCTAATAAAATTTCGTGGTAACTATCACCCGTTTATGTAAGAAATGTGATAATAAATGAGTTATTCAAGTGTTCAAGCTTAATAAACTATCCATATAAAAGTTAAATGACTCCATGGAGGTTTTAATAAATCCGTACGTAAAACTTCAGTTTCCGCCTTGTTCCAGAGAGGGACATATATTAGTTCCTTTTAGTGAAGGATTTGTTGTTACAGCTTCAAACGTAATTTAATTGACCTTTTACGGTATATTTCTTTAAGAATTACTTAGGAAAAGGTTTTCTCTTATATTCCAATATAGGAATTAAGAAGAAAAGTAAAACTAAGCTCCCCAAAACACTATGTAGTATGGCTTGATCTGCTTACTACAATGAATATACATGGTAGAGCTCTATTTTAAGGCAATTTTCCATACTCATCTCACTCAGAATATTTAAATTTTGCAATATTCTGTGAAAAAGCAGGAAATAAAAAAAAAATAAAGAGTACATACAAGGTCAAAGGTGCATGTGCAGCTTCCTTAAGAAGGAGTAATACCACCATTGTTTTGCCCCTATTAGTATTTCTTTAATACTAGTAAGTTGTTTTTTTTTAAATGTGTTGTTTTTTTGTTGTTTTTTTTTCATATAAAGGAATACTTGGCATTAGTAACGTTTTATCCTGTCCAGTACTACAATGAAAATTTAACATAGCATTTCATTACATATAAGATAATAACCATCGCCGAAAGTAAACCAATCAAATGTTCACTCCTTTTTTTTTCCTGTTTACAAGATTTAGTAACCATGTGACCTTTTAAGTTTCCAAAATATTTTATAGAAATTCAAAAATGAATGGTGCTTTGAAACACACAAGATATATGTTTATGACTCAGAACTTTTTTTTCTGCACTAAAATGCAAAAAACAACAATTATTTGTTAAAATGTCGACTTATGATTTCGACGATGCTGAAAATATATAGATGTTCACCTGCTGACAATTTTTGTTTGAAATAATTCTGTTTTATCCACCATAGTTTCCGCATAATAACACTAATATGGATTAAAATCGTCTTTCAACGCCACTTCCTATAAGGAGTAGAATGGCGATGTCAAAAATCTGAATTATTCGTGAATTTGTGTCCTATTGATCAGCTAATTTCAGTTTATTTCTATCTAGTATTGTTTCCAAGAAAGAAAAGATGGATAACATTGTCGTTGATAAATAGTAACTCCTGTAAGAAGTAAAATGAGAATTTCAACAATTTAACGTATTTGCAGATCTTGTCCTGTTCATCGTGTTGTCATATACAGTTTCTCTTTATCTATTATAGTTTTCCAGATAAAAACCAACATCGCAAAAAGGTAAACATTTATTATTTAATAGCTATAACTTCTAATAACGATCGGCTGACAGTATACATGTAAGTTTTGACATTCTGATCTTTTCAATTCCGTCTGATCTCCCAATATTCAACAGTTTTCAAAAAATTAGACTATTCCTGCATTTTACCCTTATGTTCTATTTCTATTTTCAGTCTTGATTACCATTTTGGTTTGCAGCAAGATTCATCGGACACAATTTTTTGAACTAGATACCGCAAGTATGGGTTTGACCATGTTTGGTTTCAATTGGCCCAGTAGTTTCAGAAGAGGAGATTTTTGTTGAAAAAATTACCAGACGACTGACGGCGATGGACAACTATGATGACGTTGGATGACAAAAGGCCACTACGACGACGGACGACAACAGACGCCAGGCCATTTGATCCAGCTTTCCATCAATAATGTATTACAAAAATATAATAATACATTGTCTTGGTGTTTGATTAAAAACAAAACGTGAAAAAAATGATAAACTTCTGGTGGATGTATCAGTTTGATAATTGAGGACTTACCATCCTTCCGGTAATAACTCTTGACATTCGTTATGTAGGCTAGTCTGGGAAGAAATAGACCCCACCATGTAACCGGTTGGAAACCTGTAGATGAACATCCATCTTCCCAATTATTATTTGCAGGTCCTTCTATTGCCAGGTTTGCAGTGTATGAAATACCTGCTTTGTCTGTATATGTTGTTTCCTGTGCTACTGTTCCATGTAGAGCCAGATTTACTGTTAAAAGAGGTGATCTATTGACAGGGTACTTTCTTATCCATTGTTATTTTAGTACTTATTATACAAATTTGCATAATTTTGTTACATTTATAATAAAACAAGTCACTGTCATTCTATTTTTATGGATGCTTTTAATGTGTTATACTTATTATTTAAAACCTGGTCTTTATCGTATGACATATTGTCATTTCAGTTCTTAAAAACCTGTTCGTGCATTTTCCATTGTTATTCAAAGCAAAATAATTATCTAAGATACCTGGGACGATCTCATTTCATAAAGGCTCTCTTTTGTTTACTTAATATTGTACCTCGAACTTATTAACCCGGTGTAGGTCTTTAAGTCGAGGTTCATGACTAATCAGACACGCCCTCTTAGAATAAAGGGGTCCAAAATAGGATCGAGGAAAAACAGCCAGCGAAATACCATAATTTACAATTTCAGAGCACCAAAGTGCTTTTGGTTGATCTAAATCTCCGGTCAATAATCAAACGGTATTTGAGTGGAAAAACAAACCTGTCCGAAACCGGGAAATGTTGGCTGCAATGGGAATCTATTTACAAAATAAGTCCATATCTCATTTACTTATAGTGGTTGTTATTGATTGTAAATTTTTGGCATTCGTCTACCGTGGAGAATAAAAGAGGGGCTAATAGCTTAACTTACGACTTTGATCATGGTTCAACTTTATTCTATTACGGCATACGTTTAACCATTAACCAACGCTCTATCTTATTAAAGTGTCGCTCTAAAATTGTTATCATTTGCTTCAGTTTGATCCACTTTGCATCTCGTCGTGAATATGCATGACATATTTGCCACTGGACATTGAGGGAGGAATTAATTAATCAGCACCATTTAGTGATGTATAATCATTAATCTTCAGTTGATAATTATCTCAACCAGTTTTCCAATTTTTATATTATTATTTGATTTTTATTCATATTTGATTTTTCAAGCGTACATTTTAGCATTTCATTCGTCATTTTTCTCTTTGCATTTAATCTTTTTTTTTTAACATTAAATAACGTAGTCCACACCAGGGGTTACATTGTTTCCTATCCAGCCAAACTAGGGGAAGGGGAGTAGAACACATAAAACAATCTTCATTGAGTGGCAATAACTCATATATTGAAGCGTACAACGACGGCAGTCTCGTCTAGGTGACAAATTTGCAGTTTCAAGTTTTTTTTTATATCTGGTATAATACACATGTAGTTGTAATAAAAGCAAAAATGGATAAAAAATGTTGGCAACAGTTTATATAAGGATTCAACTTATTTTGTCTGTTTCATTTATTTGTTAAAATATTGTCTTACTGATCGGTTTTGTTATTTAAACTTTTTTCATCTACGATTGTCCAAGCAAAAGTCGCAAAAAACTGTGTTAAAATCAGCCATGCGAATTATTGGAAGATTTAGCTGACCTTTGTTGTTGTTTACAGATTTCAATCATTTAACTTGTGCGTAGATCGTATTCCCTCCTCAAAGAGTTTTTCAAATGGTTATTTAACGTATATATAGCGTGAAACTCTCACTACACCAGGCATCGGATATACGACATTTCTTTTCCGACCGGACGAAGCTGCGTATTTATACATCCGAACAGTCAAAGGGTATACTGTCCAGAGACGGGAGAGCTCCAGAGTTATTTCTATATCCAAGTCAATCCTTTGGTTTCGAATAAAAGGAGATAAAGGTATACATTAATGTGACAGCAACCCAATGACACAGACAAATCCAAATATTAAGAGTCAATATAGTCTTTTGTTATAGAAAGATTCGTATACAGAATAATAAGCTCAAACCGTCCCATGACTAAAAAATACGGAGATGATTAAATAATATTTACTGTCAAAGGTATCACAACAGGCACATTGATTTAATATTAATTACCGTTAAAGATATCCCAACAGGCACACATGTTTGGTTGAAAAATATCACCTGCCTTTTTTTAATTTCGATCGGTGGAAATTAAAGAAGGTGTAATATAAACCAGTAGAAGAAAACCACTTCACTGTATAGTATAACGGTAAAATAAATGATGATAATGAATGACGTCCAGCGGCAAATTAAATGAATATTCGGGACGATAACATGTAAATAAAATATGAGTATTAACCCTGCTTGTGCTAGACCGACACCGGTTTTTTAACGAGTAAGTTCACAAGATATCAGTTCGCAGGAAGAAAAGTCAGCCTACCCGGAAACATTTCTGACAAGTCTGTGCTCTTACTCTTAAATGCCGCTAGTTTAGCGTTGAAACAACAAATACCAATGTAATCGTCTTTGTTTGACCCAGTCGGGATTGGAACCAACGACATCCAACTCTCGAGGCGAACACATTCTCACGAAACAAACCAGGAGAGCGGTTACCGTAGTAATATCATATAAAAAACTAATGTACAATTGATACAGTTACACACAATTCTCACAGTTACTAAAGCGAGCTAAAAGTATCTGACCTAAATTAGGTGCGTTAAAAGATATTGGAAACTACACGTAAATATGGATGGCCGACTTCAGAATAGATTTCATGGATCACACTCTCTGCAAATGAGAAACGCTTCCACCAATTATTTAAGGGATGTGGATGCAGTCGGATGTGGCTAGCTGTTGCAAGGCTATATTTCCGTACTCATTTAATATACCCTCAAATTCCAGTGGTATTCTAAGTTTCACGTCCAACCTCACTGTCGACCTCCTATTTAAAGACCTACCTATTGTATTTAAGATTGATATGTTCTCGTCATGAACATGCATGAAATATTTGCCACTGGACGTAAAGCAAACAACAATCAATCAACTCAATGAATTATTCCATGTTCATATAGTACACGAAGACAAGATCTTGTATAATACTATGATGGAAAATTTCCATTTCAATCACTCAATAATAGTGCCAATTTGTTTATTGTTTTGCAATTTATTAATTACTACATAACTGATCACTTATAAAAAAAAATAAAATATTTTTCATATATTTCTTATCTACTGTTTTATTACGATTTATGATATATGATGTTGTCAGGTAATTATAAAACTAAGAAAGGTAAAAGTTTTTTTTCAAGATGTTTGTTTATGCTACATTAAGACGTGAAAAGGGAATGACGAACGACTAAAATGAAATTGTTTGTTTTCAGATAATACTTTGTATTTCAATTTAAGAATAATGATCAACCGTGCGAAAATATCTCGTCTTTACACGTTTTGATCGAGCCACTCAAACCTACATAACTTGATGATAAAGATTTTACATTTACTAATAGGCTATTTAATACGATTTTATTAATCGGAGTTTACATGCATAGTTTTATATAATATAAAAAAAACACGATTCATTAATTAATTGGACTAAACAGACAACACTAATTGTTTTGTACTCGCATGTAACGTAGTGTTGGAAAATTACAGAATCAAAACCAAAAGGAACATTTACCTGAATATTGTGATGGACCTTATGCATCTAGGTCTGTTCGATTAGAAGTTGTGAAACAAACTGTTTAAATAGTTAATTGTTGAAAGAGTTTACTTACTGTTTTCTTTTGGTCTGGTCCGGTCTTTACGAATCTATTTCATGATAACTGAGAGTTTAAAAACATCAAATATAAATCGAGAATTTTTGTGCAGAACATTCATTGGTCAGTTGTAAATGAGGTCTGTATAGGGTTTTGATTTCCTCATTTATAAAATTGAAAATAGTTATATTGAAAAGTTGGAATTCAAAAATATAAATTAACCCCTTAATGTTATAAAACAATACTATGGTGTTATTTTATTGCTAAAAATTTATAATAAATGAATAATTAAAAGATATAATGCCATTTAATCGGTCCGTTTTCAATACAATTAGGTAACTGTTATTTGTCTATATCAGTCTGAGTACTGTTTAACTATCATTTGAGTTGAACATATTTAGATACGTCCAATTCAGGGGTATTAGCCTTCTGAAAGTGGTTTTTTTTTTGTGCTTTTCTTATGTTTTTGACGGTTTGTAAGTCAGTAAAAGTTCAATGATTAAGTTAATATTGACATTAAAAGACCTCCTCACAAAAAGGGCTGTTCGGGCTTCGGGATCTCAACATCCCTTTTTGTTCGAAGGTCTTTTAATACCAATTATATTAACTTATCATTGAGCTTTTACTATTACTTATAATATTGGGTTACTACTGATGTCTAAGGTTTTACGGTACATTTTGAAAATATACAAATATATTGGTACACATGCAATTACAGTGGAGATCACTTCTAACCTCTCATCAAATCTGTCAGAATCTGTCAGGAGAACTGTTCTTGGACAGTATGTAGAACTGTCATCCTGACACCTTTTAGACAGTTCTAGCTAGAACAGTTCTAACCTAGAACTGATTTGGTCAGTTCTACCTAAAACTGATTTAGACAGTTCTAACTAGAACTGATCCTGACAGTTCTACCCTAGAACAGTTTTAGACAGTTCTACGACTAGAACAGTTCTACGGCTAGAATAATTCTACGACTAGAACAGTTTTAAGAACTCTTTGTCTTAAATATAAATAAGTCAAAAGAATATAATAGATATTACAAAATTCTCATCACAGCACTGTTTTAACATTTCTCTTAACTGCAGTGACGTCATTTAGAACTGTTCTACAATCCTGACAGGTTTGGTCAGTTCTACGGCTAGAACAGTTTTAGACAGTTCTGCTGACAGTTCTACGGTTACAACTGATTTAGTCAGTTCTGCTGACAGTTCTATGGTTAGAACTTATTTGGTCAGTTCTGCTGACAGTTCTACGACTAGAACTGATTTGGACAGTTCTACCTAGAACAGTTTTAGAAAGTTCTACCCTAAAACTGATCCTGACAGTTCTACCTAGAACTGATTTGGTCAGTTCTACCTAGAACTGATTCTGACAGTTCTACCTTAGAACAGTTCTAGGGTAGAACTGTTCTAGGTAGAACTGTTCTAGGACAGTTTAGAACAGTTCTATGACAGATTATTCTGACAGTTCTAATGAGAGGTTAGAAGTGATCTCCACTGTATATGCAATCATCGAAGCTAGGATGTCAATACATTTAAAGACCATAATATTATACGAATTTATACAAATGAATGCAGATCTTGTTGTTGGACTACAAGATTTGTTAATAAATCAAAACATTGGCGACTATATTAAACTCTTTTTAATCATATTCGTTGAAGCCAATTATTATGAGAATATACATGTAAAGATGGAATAGAAATATTCTTTACCATTAAACAGTTAACTAAGAAATTTGTAAACTTAAGCGTAAAACACAAATTATGCTTCACCATGTTCACGGAGAAAACAAATCGTAATAACAACTAACTTCTACAATGAATCTGAAAGAGTTAAACAGAACAGAAACAGAGATATGATATGAACAAAATTAACAGAAATTTGTAAATTAAAAAAAAATGGAAAACACAACCAAAGAAGACAAATCAATAGACCACAACTTTTTTACTTAAGAGCATCTCTTGAGTATGAGGGGATACTGTAAAAGTTAACTGAAATTCTAATAAGGTGCAAGAGAAAAAACTAGAATGTATCAACATTTGAACTCCTAATAAACAATCCATTTAATACAGAAAAATAAACAACAAATGATTGTCTTCATTATAATTTTAGTTGTTTGGCATAATAAAACACTTAACGACCCCGAAACCAGCTATTGCCCTCGGCTTCACCTCGAACAAAGGTGGTATCTCAGGAACAACAAACTTGATATACCCCTTATAACCAGTCAATACGTGTATACTTTTCATTTAATGGTATTGCTGTTATTACCTTTGAATAAATCAATGGAAATTCAGAAATGTATTGATATTTCATAATAGATAAATGTTACAATTGCCAAAGATGGTACAATTTTATATATACTTACTCTGTGCTCTTACTGGAACGAAAAGGGTCGCTATGATAATAAAAAATACACCTGGTTGCAGCTTTGAGATCATCTAAAAGTGAGATTTGTAATCATATACATCTTTAGATCATCAAGTTGAACATAATAAAATATATAACTTAATTTTTTTTTCAAACATTCTGTTAATCGGAAGCACTTAAATAAACTAGCAGCCTTACTACATATACTTATACAGTTCACGGTGCATTCCATAATTATAATGCATTTAAACAACAGATGAACCAACAATACTAGACTGTGACTAGCCATTGAGTTAGAGTTAGAGTTCGAGTTATTGTTCGAGATAATGTCGAGTTCGACTTGATATTCGACTTATGCATATTATGATTCGATTTCAAAAATGCTTAAATGTCTACAAGTTATACTGTCTAGAAAAATATATATCACTAAAAAATATTTATTTTTATATGCAAATAATAATTGAGAAAATAGCGGGTGGATCCAGAGGGCGGGGGGACTTTTTTTTGTATTTTTCCTTTTTATCTTTGCTTTAACTCCGGGAAACCCTTCTTTATTTTTGGAGGGCTTCTATGTCCAAATTTTTGTAAAGTCCTTGATATGTGACTAAAGTGTATGAAATCATAAAAACTCAAATTAAATACTCGAATATTTACTCGAAATCTTTCTCGAAATGTGACTCAAACTCGAATCGTAACTTGAGCTCTAACTCAAACTTTACTCGAACTTTTACTTGAACTTTATCTCGAATATAAACGGAACTCTAACTCGGTGGTTATACACGTGTTCGTAACTCTTAATTGGTCGAACCGCTATTATGTGACACCGAATTGTATCATTCTCTGTAATGACTTCGTGAAAAATATAACACCATCGAATAAAGTTCGAAGACAGATGAATGGGTTGCTTGGTAAGAGGAACGAACGTCTATTTCGCGTAGACATTGTCTGAAAATCAAAATTCCTTTGAAGAAAACAGATTCCATCACTGCTTTTTGTTCGTCAGCACGACATTACAATAATTCCCCTCCTCATCACGCGTCTCAATATGTATGGCTAATTTAATATTAGAATTATGTATTCTTTTTAGAAACATAGTCACAATTACAAAATGTCGAAACCTACAGGAATTTTAATATCAAAGAATTATAACATTATTAAATAATTTTTTTAACAATTTTGCCATATTTTGTACATGTATAGTGCAGTTGCCCTTGGTCTCTTTTCCATTCTAGTGACTCGAATTATTTATTCCTTCAACTTGCTTTTCTGGATAAGAGACAAAGTGGACCTCTGTTAGCGAACTATATGATAAAAGGATTATATTATTTGTATAGATGAAAAACTTAGACCACTCGGCCATAGAGGTCCCTTTACCTAAATAAAGTTAAATGTATCTGAAAGAAAATACGGTCATGAAGATTTAAGTCCGAAAATTTGTTTTTGAATTTGTAAAGACTTATTTTTTTCATTGTCTTTTTTTAGAATAATAATTAAAAAAAATCTATAAACAGTTACGTCTTGGCACATAAGGGTTTAGTTACATGTATAATGATAAAGGATCTACAGACTGTACTGTAGAACCCAAAAAGTACATATAGCTATTAATTGAACTGTCACTACCTATTAAGATTTACCTTTTTTAAATGGTCATGGTACACTTTGAATAAATAGTACAGTAAAATGGCCTTTTGTTTTAGTTTGAAAATTTATTTGATTTTTCAAATTGAAAAATGGCGGATTTAAGAGACACAGTTGCAGAATATGCAGAAATTCAGAGAAAAAAAATATGAAAATATATTGATAACAAATATCCAAAGAATTAATCGACTGTGTATTTAATGAGTACATTTGCATCTTAACATCAACACAGATAAAACAATGAAATTGTATGGGAATACTCTTAATTCTTCCCTATATAACGATGATTTAAAATGTTTCTTTTTGTACTATTTTTTATTGGGCTATACCATTGGATACCGCCTCGATGGTCTCTTTGAAGCGTGTTTGCCTCGAGTGCGGGGTTGTGAGTTCGAACCCCGTCTAGATTAAACTAAAGACTTTAGAATTGTTTTTTTGCTGGTACTTCTCTGATAAGCACACGGCATTAAGGAGTAATGGCAAATACTGGTTGGCTCGGGAGTCAGAATGATGTGACCGGGAAGGTTGACATGTCTTCCTGCGGACAGTTACGTAATATAGATACAATGGATAAGCGTGGATTCTTGAAAAAGAAACCATGAGCCCGGAGGGCGAATGGTTTGTTTTTCATTAAACCATTGTGGTGACGTCAGCCTATTCATTTACCGTGGATTCTTTTTCTAGAATCAACGCTTCATAAATCTGCAACTGAAATGGACTCACCAAATTATATTCAATTGTTTCCTTTGTGTGCCTAATTTCATTAAGTTTGAATTGGCTAATTTACTGATTTCTGTTCACTAATGGAATTAATTTAAAAACTTACCTTTAATTTTTGTAATTTTTATATGCCTTCACTGGGAATCGAACCCTTCCTTGAAATCTGTTATGTGTGACTGACATCAACACATCGACGAAACCTCTCGGCTACCAATGGGTTACACTATAGATGTCTATTTTATATATTTAAATGAACATCTGATATACATCGGTTCATCGATACAATGGATAAGCGTAGATTCAGTTATATAGATACAATGGATAAGCGTGGATTCTTGAAAAAGAAACCATGAGCCCGGAGGGCGAATGGTTTGTTTTTCATGAATCTACGCTTATCCATTGTATCTATAACTTAAACTATTGTGTTAATTTCTTTTCAAAATTAAAGCCTTTTCTTAATTAGAAGGTATTGTAAGTGAGTTTAACTAACCATGTTATCGTGTCCAACGATGCATTGATAAATCTCAGATCACAATTAATTGGTTAACAAAATACAAATATAACACTTCTACCTTTAAAGATCTTTAAATTACCAGGCATATGAATATTATCTGTTTATACAAAATATTCGAAATTATTTCTAATAAAATTGAATATGGAAATGGGGAACGTATGAAAGAGACAACAACCCGACCAAAAAGCATATATAAAGTATATATAATAAGTATGTTATCGAAATTTTTCTAGCACTCTAGGCACATCACGATTTTCTCGCATAGGAATTTGCGAACAAAACTTTGTAAAATTATGTAGTAAAACAGATGAAATCATACTATATTTATTAAACAAAAATTGACAAATAGAATGTAATCATTTTTTTTTTCAAACATGTGAAATAGCCAATAATAATTACAAAAAACGGTAAAACTCGCTATTATTACAAAACATCCACTGTAACATGCAAAATTAGAAAAAAACCAGGATAACTTAAGAATTGGAACAACAGAGAGAATACAGGGATTCGAACCTAAACCGACAAATCCCTATCTTTAACTCATTGATTTTAACCATGCTAACCTCGCGGCTACCAACTCATACTATACGACTGCCTATTGTGTCTATATAAAGGTACAAACCCTGTGTGTCCGATGTTCATTTATATATATAAAATAGACATCTAAGTTGTAACCCATTGGTAGCCGAGAGGTTTTGTCGATGTGTTGATGTCAGTCATTCATAACAGATTTCAAGGAAGGGTTCGATTCCCAGTGAAGGCATGTACAAATTACAAAAATTAAAGGTAAGTTTTTAAATAAATTCCATTAGTGAACAGAAATCAGTAAATTAGCCAATTCAAACTTAATGAAATTAGGCACACAAAGGAAACAATTGAATATAATTTGGTGAGTCCATTTCAGTTGCAGATTTATGAAGCGTTGATTCTAGAAAAAGAATCCACGGTAAATGAATAGGCTGACGTCACCACAATGGTTTAATGAAAAACAAACCATTCGCCCTCCGGGCTCATGGTTTCTTTTTCAAGAATCCACGCTTATCCATTGTATCTATATTACGTAACTGTCCGCAGGAAGACATGTCAACCTTCCCGGTCACATCATTCTGACTCCCGAGCCAACCAGTATTTGCCATTACTCCTTAATGCCGTGTGCTTATCAGAGAAGTACCAGCAAAAAAACAATTCTAAAGTCTTTAGTTTAATCTAGACGGGGTTCGAACTCACAACCCCGCACTCGAGGCAAACACGCTTCAAAGAGACCATCGAGGCGGTATCCAATGGTATAGCCCAATAAAAAATAGTACAAAAAGAAACATTTTAAATCATCGTTATATAGGGAAGAATTAAGAGTATTCCCATACAATTTCATTGTTTTATCTGTGTTGATGTTAAGATGCAAATGTACTCATTAAATACACAGTCGATTAATTCTTTGGATATTTGTTATCAATATATTTTCATCTTGTTTTTCTCTGAAATTAGACACACAAAGGAAACAATTGAATATAGTTTGGTGAGTCCATTTCAGCGGCAGATTTAGGAAGCGTTGATTCTAGAAAAAGAATCCACGGTAAATGAATAGGCTGACGTCACCACAATGGTTTAAATTGTTAACTAGAACGTTAAAAATCCGGCTTAGCGTGTTGGTCTAGTACAAAGCAGGGTTAATATTCATATTACATTTACATTTTCTCGTTCTGAATATGCACTTAATTTGCTGCTGAATGTTAAACAGCCATCCATCATTATCATCTATAACATTTGTTTGAATAGTATGTATTCGTTCTGTTTTATAAATGTATAACATGAAATATGTAGCTCACCTTCATTGCAACAAGAACAACATCACCGTGTGTCCACTGTCAACCAGGAAGTTCAAGACATACTGTTTATATGTTACCATATATACCCGATTTGGATATTTTTAGTTGGTTCATTATACACAGAGAGCAGTCAGGCATACAAATATCACACTACTGCCTTTAAAAATTATTGATTCAAACGCAATGAAATTATTTTTAGTATGTATTAGTGATTAACAGAGCAAACTGTTACAGTATATCCCATGTGTAAATTGTTCATTTGTTAAACTAAGTCTGGATAAACCATGTAACCTGGTCAAAGTATAAATGACGTTGTGATAGATATAAGAAGATGTGGTATGAGTGCCAATGAGACAATATATAGCATACGTGACATAAAAAAAAATCGTTCAAAGGGATACCCAACACTTTGACAAAAAAAAATCCTGTTGTTTTTTTTCATATTTGGTGGACAAGAACATAAGCCTTTCCTACAAAAGCTGTGAACTTTTAAGGGGAAATTCACCATACGAATTCAGAAAAATACCAACTCCAAGGTTCCATACCTAGGGCCTCATGTTTCCTTTAAAAATAGGGTAAAACAAGGGGTACAGGGTTCAAATGTCACTATTTTTTCAGTTGTTAGTATATAATCCCTTAAATGTCTTGTTTACATAGTAAAAGTATTGATCCATTTGATTACAATGTATATCATACATAAAATACTTAGAGAATGTCTTCATAAAGTTTATTGAAATATAAATTTCGATGTGTACTGTCATACTGAAATCCTTAGTATAAATGGATAGCTCTGATCTACTAAATGTTTCCATTAAATGTATTGTTTGAAAAATTGTGTCGTTTAAAATTCTTTAAAAATCGAATAAAGACTAAACAGAAGTCATATTTGAACTTGTCAAATGTTTTATAAAATTTCCCATCCTAATCTTGTGTATTACTTGGTCAAGGTTGACTTTTTAAGCTTGAAAAAACTATAGTAATTAAAAATAGTTTTTGGTGTTTTTACGTACATTATACGTTTTCAAACTTTTGATTGAACCGGCCTTAATTTGGGGGTATATTTATTTGTTAGGCTTCATATATTTGATTTACAAGCACAATTCATTATGGTGAGTGAAATAGTTGGACATAAGAGCCCATTTATCGTGACATTAAAGTGATCTTGACCTGTAACATCAGGTAAAATGTATTACTTTTGTGACAAATAAGTTCTTTTTGGAAACTGTTTGCCTTCATACTACATGTATGTATGATTTTGATATTTTGAGGTTAATACAGTATTAAAAGGTGACTCCTATCAGCAGAAATGTACAATTTACACCGATTCTATAGAACAAATATAGTTGACACAATTTATGCGATCATCGGCCTGAGTTATACTAAAACAATATTTTAACGAAAACATGTTATGACAGACATCAACTAACGACAGTCGGTGAACAACTGTCTCCTACCAGAGTACAAGCACATACATACATGTAATGTTGCATAGTTAAGTATGGTTTAGAGGGCTCAACTCTCTCACTTACCCGGGGAAGTGGTGTTACAAGTTTTACTTGCAGTGCACTTTAGGAGTTATAAGTGATTTACAGTGCAGGAGGGAGGGGGTGAAAATATTTTGAGTCGCGCAAGCAACAAGAATACTCCCATGCCCCTGCATTGTAATCACAAATAACTCTTAAATTATATTCTACAGTACGACTTTGCCCCCAGCAGAGCTTTAGAAAAACAGTACATTAACGGGTGTTACACGTACACTTTTTAGATGATACACGGACACTTTTTAGTTGTTACACGGACACTTTTTATGAATAGAATCACTCGTGCATGATCAGTCAGTTCATGGGCACTTTAAATTTCAATTAGATTTGAACTTTTTGTTTCACCGACATATTTCCTGTCTTTTTAAATAAAATATGTACGCTAGCATCCTAGCATCAATAACTATATTTTGTTCAAACAATTCCAGTAAATTACTATTTATATCAGTAGTCTAAGGAATTGACCATTTAACTTCAAAAGGGGGGTAACGGTTTTTTTGGTTAAAAAAAATATTTTGATCCCCAATTTTATGAGACAAAATATATTGTGTCAATCAGATGACAAAATAATGTTCTGATTCTTGATTTTCCGAATATCGTATATAATAGTGCTAAGTTCGAAAAATAAATATTTGGGTAATAGCGTTGAAAACACTAAATAAATTTCTTGCACAGAAAAGAACATACACCCCTTTTGAAGCTTAATGGTCGGTCCGTAAATGTATTTTTTTTTCAAGATCTGGACATGAATAGTATTCTGTAAGTAAAGAAATGCCGGCACCGACATTTAATTTCAATTAAAAAGACAGGAAGTACTAGTATATATAAAAAATCAAATCTAATCAAAATACAAAATCCCTATCAACTCACCTAATGCACGATTGATCCTATGGATAAAAAGTATCCGTATAATGCATGTTCAAATAGGCAGCAAATTTTGAAAATCATTCAACTTATGTCATCAATTTTGAACGGTAAGCTGCAATTGGATCATAAAGTGACACGTGTTTAATCCTGCTCAACACTAACAGAGACATATAAAAACCTATAAGCATGATTTTTTTTACATGTATATGTAAATCCAAAATATATACCTATATATATATCTAATAACAAGACGAAATCCATTTTTTCATAACATTTCATTCACTAATGAAATAGGAGATTCATTCTTTTGATACATTTATATTGTTATTGACTTCATCAATATTGAATTAGTATATATTGAATTCATATTTTTTGACAGCAAACGTACGATTTTTTTAAAAAGGGAATGGGGGGATGGAATGACACATCCTGCATTTTCTCAACCAAAAAAAAAAGATCAAGTCTGTTTATTTTAAATGTATTTTACCCCCCCCCCCCCCCCTTTCCGTTTTTCCCCAATAAAAGTCAAATGGTAGCTTGCTTACCTCTGAATTTTTTTTTATACATTGCTTACTTGCGAAGTAGCATTTTAAAAAGTCTCAAATGTGTACAACATTCATCTTGTACTTGAAATGGTTATTTTTTATAAAGTTAAAAGATTCTTAAGAAAAAACTCTTGGCTGAAGGGAAGTGAAAAAAAAATTGTTTTAAATGTAACTTACATTAACTGGTATATGGCAGTGTAAGTTTCTAGTTTGTTTAGTTTTGCTACTTCTTCTAAATTTAAGTGCAAAATGTACTTCTTCTTTCTTGAAACGTCGTACAAGTCAGATACAAAACAAAGGTAACAAAAAACAGGCCGGTAACAACCTACCGTATAGTTTTTCTGCACTTGTAGTCAGGTCACATGACTACTCGTGCAGTAAAACTATCCAGCAACGGTTGTTACCGGCCTGTTTCTTTGTTACCATTGTGTTATATCTAATACATATTTTGTGTCATATACATATTCAAGAATTTTTCCGCGCTCCGTGCAAAAAGATTTTGCATGTAGTTAAAGTAGTCATCAAAAATGAGTGAAGAGGAAGGGGATAAATTCGTTACATAGTGTGCTAGTGACCTAATACGATATATATGGGGTCAGTAAGTTCCATATGGGGGTGAGAGCTTCTTCGCTCTCACCCCATATGTAATTTACTGACCGCATATTTATCGTATTAGGTCACTAGCATACTATGTAACTAATAATATTTGCCACGTGGTGCTATCGCAATAATCAATCATTCAATCCTTCAATGTAAATTTGACTAAAATATATACAATTTTCCATTTTTTACAAAATGATCTTTAACAGCAATTTCAAAACTTGTTGACATTTTAATATTATGCATAATTTTTAAATTGAAATATGGAGAAATTATTGCAAAGTCTTTACTCAAAATAAACAATAGATTAAATCTGATAATGTTGTTACGTTCGTTAAATGTCCATGAAACCACTTTATGATTTCAATTAATATGCAATTTAAAAATTAAAAGAAATAAAGTTTTATAAAATTTCAAAACAAATACGATTGAAAAGGTCCTGTTTTTTTAATCCTCTCCCCCTTTTTTTCTAAATACCTGTTAGGTTTGTTTCCTCGTGTAACTAAAGATCTGAGTGATTACAATACATAGAAATTAAAACAAATAGGTAGACTTGTACTTATTTTCCCTAAATTTATAAAGCACCATAACATAATTTTAAAGCCTACATAAAATAGTATCATATACATGAGGGCAAAAAGGATCAAAGCTACTGAATAATATTTTAAAGCGGTATTCGCTGTCAAATTCATGTTCATCGATTTGACTCAAATTCTCATGTTTTATTTAAAACATACTAAAACGTATCATTATCTAAATTATAAAAGGTCCAAAAGAAATAATGCACAATACATGGACTAGCAATAATATATCAGCATGTAGTGTGTATTTTAGACTAATTTAGCATCGATATGACCTCCGATGAATGCTTAAAATGAGCGCACGATCAACTCTTTTACAACCCTATAGAATTATAAAAAGAAGCATTCAATGCTTAAGTATGGAACGCCATAGCTGCCTTATATGTACCTATTTCTATATATGCACATACTTTTTCTATATATGCACATACTTTTTCTATATATGCACATACTTTTTTTCTAAGTATGCACATACCTGTCTATATGCACATACTTTATATATATATATGCACATTATTGTCTATATATGCACATACTTGTCTATATATGCACATACTTTTTCTATATATGCACATACTTTGTCTATATTCACATACTTTGTCTATATATGCACATACTTTATCTTTATACTGTGTCTAGTTAAATTTCAAACTATCAGCAAACAGGAAGTGGATGTACTGAAGATGTTTTGAAACGACATGAAAAATCAGCATATTGGAACGAAACATAAACTTGATCTGTAACTCATCATGGTAGACTCATGGTAAAACAAAAATCAGAGCAAAATCTGAAGGCGTTTAGAAAAAAATTCCGTATAACTGTGATTTTCAACAATTTTTAAAATCTAAAACCTGTAATTACGGCAAAAATCAGCAGAGCAGAACGAAACTTTAACTCGATCTGTAACTCATCATGGTTAACTCACATACCAAAAATTAGCCCAATATCTGAAGGCGTTTAGAAAAAAGTCCGTATAACTGTGATTTTCAAC